TTGATCCCCTCCCCCAGGCCTCAGGCCTGCCTGGTCCCCCTCCCTGGTCCCCCTGCCTGGTCCCCCTACCTGGTCCCCCTGCCTGGTCCCCCTGCCTGGTCCCTCTGCCTGGTCCCCCTGCCTGGTCCCCCTGCCTGGTCCCTCTGCCTGGTATGCCTTCTTCTCTCCTCCACGCATGTGCTCAACCCCAGCCTCGCAGTCTGCCTCCATCCCTCCCAGTTCTGCTTAATCCATCCACCCATTCAGCCCCTAGGCACCTGGCCATGCTAAAACACACTGAATGCCCCTCCTCATGCTACCCGTGCTTTCTGGGCTTCTGGCTTTATCCTGATTCCCCGTGGGATCATGGGTAAGGAGAAGAAGGCAACACCTTGCAAGGTCAGGGTCAGGGGTCATGGTCAGACTGACCTCCTCAGAGGGAAGTCAGCACTGCCTCAAGCCCTTTTCTGCCACAGGAGTGAGGCTGCTGATGCCTTGTGCTTGAGCACATAGCCTCATAGGACCTCGGAATCATACAATCAGAACACCTCTCCTTCCTGTGATTAAGCTGTGCTTGTCCCTCTAGGGATAGGGAGCCTACTCCCGCAGACTCAGCAGACATGGGAACTGTGGCCTGAGGTCATCTCCAGTCCCCTACTAGACCTCCTGGTCCATCCCAAAGTCTCCAAGATGAGAGACACCTGGTGTTACAACCCTTCCCGGTAGGATGGGACCTTACTATGGAGGGTATTTGTCATTGAGATGGAATCCATGTTTCTTGTCTGGGGAACTAGGGAGGGGATGTGGAAATGGGCCACCTTTCCACGTGTCACGGCCATTGACAGGCTGGCAGGTACCATCCTATCTTTCAGCCTGGTTGATAGCAGCTCGCAGCCTTTGACAGTGGCCTTGTTAATGTAAGGGGGCAGATAGGTCCAGCTCGGGCAGGCTGCTCAGTGCTGCACTGGGCTCAGATAGTCCTGGGGATTAATGAGATGCCCAGGGCAGGCAAAGACTCCCTTGGGCATGGAAACTGAGGCCCAAGGAGCAACATGAAGGCTACGTATAGAATGTCTTTGAGGTCCTTGGGACCCTCTAAAACCCTCAGAAGACCCCAGCCTGGCCCACAGTCCCAGGCCCACAGTCCCTCGCCCTCCAAGTCTGGTGGCTCTTAGAGGCAGGCACCATTCTTTCTCACGACAGCAGCCCATGGGCAGCCTGGGGATATAGGGCAGTGCAAAGTAAACCGCTGCCCAGAGGGTCACCAAATTGCAAGCTGCCAGGGGATGGGGCAAGCCTTTCTGGCAAATCCTAGCCCACAGGGCTCAAAGAGCCAGGTTCCTTTCTACACTTATGGAACTTTCTGGAACTTCACAAGCTCAAAGCAGCTCTCTTAACTCTCCAAACTCCACTCCCCACCTCGCCAACTCTCACTCTCAGCTCCTTATGTTCACTGTCTCCCCTCCCCCACCCTCCCTCTTTCCACCTTGGCTTCTGGTATCAGTCTCAGGAGGCCATCTCAGGGCTTCCACAGCCACAGGCTCCCCAGGCTCCCCCAGGCTCCCCTGGTGCTGTGGGAGGCTCCCCACTCTCAGGGACCACAGGGATACTCCGCCTCCCTTCCCCCAGCCTGGCACTCTCTGAGGGAAGATGCTCAACCCAGACTTAGCTCTGAGCCCTCTCAGTGGTCCACCAAGCTCCAGGTACCAAAGCCTTTGTTGACGAAGACTTGAGACAGCATGTCCCATGCTTCACAGAAAAACCTGGAGCTCATGAGCCAGAAACCAGGGAAGGGCCACGGGCAAGGCTCCTAGCCTGCTTTCTGGTACCTGGGGCGGAGCCTGCAGAGCATCCATCTAAACGTAGTTTCTGCAGGGAGCTGGGGGCTGGGCCTCAGACAGTTCATGCCAAGGGCTTCCAGGGGTTTACATAGCCCTTTACAGGGCTCATAAAAAAAATCAGGGTCTTAGGTCCCCCTTGGGCCTTAAGTGAACAGACTGTTCACCCAGGAGCTGTCTAGGAAGGACATCTGTTTCTGGCCCCTGGGGATGAGCCAGCCCAGCCGTCCTGCTGTTGAACCACTACCTATAGGTGGAGTGAGAGAGCTCTCAATCTCCTACCTGTAGCCTCCACCGGGGCTCACAAAGGTAATGGGCCAACAAAAGAGGACCCCAGGCAGCCCCCCATAACACAGGCTCCTTGTGTCCCGAGGTGGGGTAGGGCAGCCTCCAAATGAGCCCCTCACCAGTGCATTCTTCAGACAACCTGCCTCCAGGCTCTTGCTGACCCTCAGCTGCTGCATCAAGCCTATGGCTCCCTGGGACCCAGGACTCGAGTTCTATCCTGGGTCCTTCAAGTCTAAGGACCTAATGAAGGAGGACAGAGGTGTGGGTTTGGAGGCCCCCACTGGTGTCAGCTCTACGTCCTGGTTCTATGGTAGCAACTCAGGAACCTGAGTCAGGGCCTGCCACTTTGCTTGGGGAGGGACTCCTGACTTCTTGTTAGGACAGCCAGAGGCCCATCTCCATTCATTTCTCTCTCTCCCTTACCCACTGCCTCCTCGCCACTCCAGGCCCTGGAGCACAGCCCCGCCCATCCACCTAGAACACCTCTTCTTCTTCCCCTCATCAGAGAAGGTGACCCACACATACTCCCTCTTGACCTCTCCCCCGTTCACTGAGAGATCTAACCCAGATCTTGCCTGCTGCTTCTTAACCCGGCCTTTCCTGCTCTGTTCTTAGTATTTCTACTCTAAGACCTGCCTCAGCCATTCCTTTCCCGCTGTGTGGGCTTAGACGAAGTCCTTGAGCTTGCATTTCCCCGGGAAGAATATGAATTGAGAAGATCCCAGAAGAATTGGCTTTAAATCTTGGCTCTGGCTCTCCCCTAGATGCTTCCCTATAATTCCTGGGTCTTGGTTCCACCCATTTGCGTGAGTGAGAACTTGCACGGGAAGGGGTGTTGTGAGGTCTCGGGTAGCAGTAGACTCCCTAAGAAAGGCCTGGCCTGGGTGGTGGTTTCTCCATATTCAGAGGCCCCCTTATGGCTTATGAGGAATCAACCTGCAGGCTGGGGGGAAGGTCATGGTACCCCCTTGCCCACCTCTGGGGCAAGAGTGAAGACAGGGGGGTTAGCTCATTCAGGCGACCTGAGGAGGAGGCTGTGGGTGTGAGATGGGAGAGAGTAGGAGAAAGAATGTCCCGGTGGAACACGGTTGGGAAAAGGAGGCACGCAGGTAGCCCTGAGCTGGTGGGACCGCCCTGCGCGTGGTCAGGGTGTCCTCAGAGAAAGAGGGAGCCTGGGGGTTTGTACTATGGACCATTTGTCTTCTGATATGCAAGTAGGGAAGATCTGTTAGATGCCTCCCCCTCCCTGAAGGCTGCCACTATCTGTGAGCACTTCTTCCGGGGGTTCCTCCTGCCCTGGAGCTGTGGGTACCACCTGGAGTGGGGGTGGGGCACATGGCTGGAGCCCTAGGAGGTCAACTCAACCTAGCTAGGGCAGAACTACAGGTGTGAAGGAGCAGGGGCGATGGGGGCAGTGGGCTGGCTTTTACTCCAACTCCAGGCTCCCCACTGACACGGTCCCAAGTCCTTTCTGGACTCTATGTTGCTTGGAAGTCTCCGTGGTCTTGGGGTACAGAAGGCAGGCCATTGTAGGAAGGGATGTGCTAGGCATGCGAAAAGAAAGGTCCCTGGGGTGGGCTGTTCCCAGCAAGGTACAGGGTTGACTAGAACCAAGGGGAAAGGGGTGTCACTTGAAGGTTGGCAAAAAAAAAAAACTACCGGGGACACCTGGGCTGGCCCAGGTGAATGCTCTCACATTGCCTCAAGGTAGAGCCTGGGGCCAGACCCGGCAGTACGGACTCCACGCCTCAGGCAGGGCCCCCAAGGATGCGTGCCCTGGCCCTGGGAGGCCGGGTTGGGATTGAATCGCAGCCAAGAAATAAGTACAGTCTGGGCACCCGGGCCAGGGCATTCTCAGGGCTCCTTCCTCATTCCTGGTCCTGTGGGAGTAGCCGGACCCTGCGCTCTATTGCAGCCGCCACTGGGGATTTGATGACTGCCTCATGGGGACCTAGGGCTTCCTGCCAGCCTGCCCAGCCCTGGCCTGGGCCCCAGGCATGCTTCAGCCTACAGATCATCAAGCCCCAGCCTTGGGCTACCTCTTGATCTTTCCCTAATGGAGAGACTAAGGCTGTGCCTCAGGAAGGGTCATCCCAAGGCTTTCCACGCATCAGGAAAGAACAAGAATCGGATACAGGGTCCTACACACTCCCTTTTGGATAGCACATTTGGAGCCTCCTCCAGGAGACTTGGAGCTAATGTATGTTCTGTGGGTGCCTTGCAGGGCTCATGGCTGGCTGTTGGATTGGTAGTTCCACCCAATGCCAGGCTTCCCAGGACAGCGGGCAGTGGTCAAACCGGCCCCACCACATGCCTTCTGACCCTGGGTAGGAATGCCATTCACCGTAGGCAGTGCATGGTCACCACAGGCTGTGGCCAGGCAATCAGTTAGGGTTTCAAACCCCTAAGGACTCTGGGCTCAGGCCCTGCGAAAACATGAGGCCCCTAGAAGTTCACCACAAACCGCTGTGGAGACCCCAGGTCCTCAGGTCTAGGAATCTGAAGTCAGAAGGGAATGGAGGTAGAGACAGGGCCTGTACCCTCCCCCTCCAGCTGAGAGCATATTAGACCCAGCCCTGTGGTTAATTCCTGGACATCAGGCCATTAGGTCTTGAGTCCTTGCAGCCTGAACTCTTTTAGAAAAGCTTCAGGGTCTATGCATAGGCATATATCCAGGGATTCTTGCTGGCTGCTGGAGGCAGGCAAGCCTGATGGGCCCAGCTGATCCTGGCCCAGGGCCTCAAGTACAGAACGGAAGGAAGCAGGCCTCTTAGCCAATGGAGGAGGTGAAGGAAATGGGCCAAGACTAAAGGGTTCAGCCTTGGTGGGCAGTGTCTGTGCCCACCTTCAGGACAAGAATTGCAGGGGCATTCCATGGAGACTCCACACAGTCGCTTTTCTGATTCCAGCTTTTATTGGGGCCAAGTGCTCCCCTCCAGAGGAGGCAGCAACACAGCCCATCAGAAGTAGGGCACTTCAAGGACATGTGGTGCCCGGCCACCTCCACCCCAGCACACAGCATTGGGACAGCCAGTGCCCTGCCTGGGTCCACTAACCACCTCTCTCCCCTAGGCAAGGTCTGCGGCTGACCAAATGCAGGCGCAGGTGCCTGGCAGCCCAGGGACAGTGCGAATTGCCTCGGTGGCATCAGGGGCCCCCGAGGGTCTGTTTCAAGCAGAAGGAGGAGCCTGGCTTGGGGGACAGCAGCCATAGCCATCCCCCATCCCCTCCGGTACCCAGTGTAGGTCACAATAACTTAAGAGACATGACAGACGGGGAACGCTATATAACAATATAAGTTAACCAGGCTCCTCACAGGGGACACTGGGCTATGGACTTGGGCATTCCCAGGACTTAGGGTGAGGAGATGGGGCCGGGGTCAGGGTGGGACATCTCCAGCGGCCCGGAGGCTTGGAACACCCTGACATGACAGGAACACACAGCTGGATGCAAGGCAAGGGCAAACAGGGGTCACTTTCCCCAGGTCAATGTCTGGGCTGCCTGGCTTGGTGGCCACCAGACCCCACAGTCCCATGGATTTCTGTTGTGAAAATACCTTTGTCTAGGGAAGGCTGTGGGCCGCTGTGCTACTAGACCTGGCAATTCCTTACATCTGCCCCGTGCTGTGAAGGAGAGGGGGGGATAGACCCAGGTCTGAGCTCTTATGTCCCCGTCTGGAAGATCCTGAGTGTGTCAAGCCTCCCACAGACCCCTGCTTGAGGGACCCTCAAGCAGGTGTCTGTAGACAGTAGGCAGGGGGCCTGGCAGATAGCGCGCTAAATTCTGGATGCTGGTTCTCTGGCATCAGGGTCGGAATGGAAGGACAAACCACAAGACACTGGAAGAAGGTGCAGCCTCCCATCACCTTGGCTACTTCCAGAGTTTGGGCTGGATGGGGCTGAGGGATACAGTTCACAGAGCCATGGGGTCTCCTGCAAATATTCAGATTGCTCTGTGTCTGTCACGTGTGGCAACTATCCCCGACCTCTCCTGAACACGTGGGATAGTCTTGGGGATCAGGTTGGCTCCAGAATAAAGTGTGTTTGTAAACTGGGGTGGAGGCTGGCAGCGGGCAGGGAGGGTGAAGAGGCATGCCTGGAACCTGACACAAGCCACGTTTCATTTACACGACAGTTTCCAAATGGAATGGAAGATGGGCTGTCCTCTGAGGCCATCTCAGGCCTTGTAGACCCATCGAGCCCCTCCCAGGGTGCTTCCAAGGAGTCACCCCACCAGCCAGCCTTCTGGCCAACCCTGACACCCCTGGGTCTTACAAGGAGCAGAGGACCCTTGAGGGAGGGGCCGGGAGAAGTGAGTGAAAGGAGATGGTGGTGGGGCAATCTCGCAGAGAGTTAGGTCTGGCTACCTGGTTGTTAGTACTGAGTCCTCATCTGATGCTAAGAAAACATAAATAATTTTGTCAACATCCATCCACACTGCCCTGGGCCGCAGGACACAGTCCAGGAAACAGTTTTGAGTGTGACTGGTGGGTGTGGCTTTTCTGTGTCCAGCCACCAGGCAGGGAGGTGACCCTCAGAGTCTCGTGGTCACTTTGAGGTTCAATTTCCCGAAGAGAAGTAAAGGAATCTGTCTCCATTGGGTACCAGACCGTTGTGTTGGCCTTGGATGCTGGGCAGGGCAGGGCACTGCTGTGCCTCTGGAGGGGACAGAGCAGGTAGGAAGGAGCCTGGAGTACCCAGAGCTCCCCATCCCCAACTCTACCCTCCTGTGCCCACAGCTGGCAGCTCCGGAAAAAAAGAAAGATGTGCAAAATGGCGAGGGCCGCAGGGTGGGCGGGCGCCGTATGCGCCTGCACGGCAGCCTCACTTGCAGGTGAAGACCTCGGTACGCTCGCTGCATGTGTTGCACTTGACGAAGCAACACCAGTGGAATTTGCAGTTGCACTGCCACACCTTGGTGTACTGGTGCGTGTTGTAGCCGCGGCCGCAGCACATGGTGTCGCAGCCGTCGGCGCCGGGAGAGGTGCGGTTGCACAGGCGGCCCTGCGTGCCCACGCTGCCCGTGGCTGCGTCCTCCTCGCAGTAGTTGGGCGACTTCTCAATGTACACCAGGTCCGTCTCCATGGGCTTCTGGTAGCTGCGCAGCTGCTTAATGCGCAGGAAGGTGGGCTGGCGCAGACGGCTGGCGCGCACCACCTCCACCTGCACGGCGGCGTTGTATTTCTCCTTGAGCAGGTGGCCCACCTCACGGAACTTGGGCAGCGTGGTCCAGCAGGTCTTGGTGGTACACGAGCCCGACACACCGTGACACTTACATTCAAGCTTCATGCGGTCCTCCAGAACCTACAAGCAACAGAGCAGAGGCTAAGCTGGGAATGGAAGAGGCTGGGTGCACTCCAGAACTCCCTGTGTCTTCCCCATGAGCTCATCCGTTTAAGCTGCTAAAACTGGGTTCCCATGTGCACACTCAATAGAGTGTGATGTATCTGATCAGAGTTATTTGGTTAAATCCAGCCCTAACGAGGAAATGGGACCGGGGCCACTTGCAGGGCAGCAGGTAGGGACACTGTGCCGGGAGAGGCCCAATCATAGCGACAGCAGGCGATTGATAAGCACTAGCCCTCCGTGTCTCCATCTCCCTGCCACCGCCTTATGCCTGGTGCAGGGCCTGGCATGCAGTCAGGGCTTAGCAGCCAGCTGCTTAATGACAGCCTGGCGTGCCAGTGATGGAGGGAACTGGGAGGGTGAGGGCACGGGTCAGCGAGGCCCAGTCTGCCATCCTCTGGGAAGCCAGCAGCCCGGCCTAGCCAATTGTTGTTCTTTCTCCCGGATGCATGAGGACCTGGGATGGGTGCAACCCTGTGTTTTCCTTGGGCCTCCCTCTCGCCTGGGAAGGCCAGTTCCCAGAGCCAGCCCTGACCCCAGGTACTCATTTACCCAGATCGAAAGGGCCCTGCCAGCCGGCCTGATAAAAGACGGGGAATTACAGTGAGCTGCAGCCCTGTGGCTGCAGAGGGGCCATTTGTCAGCTGTCCCTGCTTCACTGGCCTCACCTCCACAGCCTGGGCCTTCCGGCATGTGGCCCCTAGCCCCACCCCCCAGGGTAGAACTCACTGTCAAGGGCACCAGTTGCCAGACCCAGCTCTACACCAGACGAGAAACCTCTGCAAATGAGCGTGTGTGGATGGATGGATGGATGGATGGATGGATGGATGGATGGATGGATGGATGGATGGACGGATGGACGGACAGACGGATGAAAACGATGAGTGAAAGCAAGAATCCCAGACTGCCTTCACCTCAGCACCTTCCGTGGACTCACAGGGGACCTCTGGGACACATGGCCCAGTGTAATAAACTGGAGGAAACACTCAGGACTCCCAGGGCCCGTGGAGCTCACAACTTTACAGGGCTCACATCGTAATCCATAACCACGAGACATAGTGAACCCTGGGGATGATGAGAGTCTTTTGAAACCTCAAAGCCTAGTGACACATCTCCTCCAATAGGGCCTCACTTTCCAACACTTCCAAACACAGTTCCACCAACTGGGGACCGATTATTCAAACACATGAACCTATGGGGCCACTCTCATACCACATCTGTGCAAAGCAAGCCAGTGTGTGCAGTTACCAAGTGGTAGCTGTGGGGGCTTCCGGGAGAAGGTGATGCTTATGGTGGGTAGGAGCGCGTGAGATAGGCAGAGGGCTGGAAGGCGCATTCCAAGAGGGCCTACGGGAAGACACCACAGTGCCGCGGAGAATTCAGGGCAACACGGGGTTCTATGCCTCTCATTGCTGGATGGACCCTGGGAGGTTATCCCCATGATTGTTCTTCAGCTAAGTGAATGATGGCCTGCAGCAAGGACCAGGGAAGCTGGTCAGGAGGAAGGGGGAAACTGAGGTAGGACTGGCCAGGTTTCATGTAGAGGGGTAGAGGAACATTGTGGGCTCCAAACTGGGTGGGCTAAAAAGGCCCTGTTCCTTACATGTTCCATCCCTCGTCCATCCTGGTGACTCTCCTGCTTTGTTTGGCTCTGCTCCCTTCTACTAATCTTCTTCAAACGAGTAAGTTCCCTGCCCAGGCCACCTGCCCACCAGCTAGCTAGACTGGCCCTCTCAGGTCCCAAGCAGGAGTAGCAGGTCACTCGGGGCCTGGTTGACAACTCTCTCCAATGACTGAGACCAGGCAGGGTCCAGGTTGGGATCGTGCAGGTCAGCAGTCAGTTACCAGTGTCGCTATGGCCTGCTGCCACCCCTCACCCGGGCCATGGCTCCTGAGACTCATTGGGGATCTGTAGCCTGCTGCTCTCCTCTGGTCCTGCCCGCCTGAGGACATCAGATCCTGTACAGCCCTGCTGGTGACAAGGGCAGATGAAGTTGATTGGGCAGGTGTTTGCAGAGTGAGGGGCCGAATCCTCGCTTGGCTGGGTCCCCTGAGCTGGAGCCTCGCCGGGAAGTGATCACAGGATTCAAGAATGTGCCGTTTCCTTCTCCAGAGCCCACACCATCAGAGTGACAGCAGCTGTGGCGCCAGGGACAGCCAGGAGCTTGGGGCACTGAGACCAGCCCAGGCACTCAGAAGGGGTTTCCTGCCTGAGGCTGACTTCTCTGCAGGCCTGGTTTCTGCCAACACATGTGAGTGTGGTGCCAACCTCACTCATGGAGGATCCAGAGCCTCAGAGTAAGCACCCCTTTTGACCAGGCTTGGGGAGTCATCAGGCTAGAGCCAAAGTCCTTTAGGAGATGTTTGGATAGCCCAGGGGACTCAACCCTCTAGCCCAGCAGGGCAGGCCTTGGTGGGGATGGTGCCTCACATTCAGTCCTGAGGTAGCTGAGGTCTTAGAGTCAGGCTGTCAGTGAAGTTCTTGTTCCCTTGTTTCCTGTGGGGGGTGGGGTGGGGGAGGCTAGCCTCTCCAGGGATCTGGGAACTGCAGGGACATGGCTTTACCTGCTGTCCTTTCTGACTCTGGGATCAGGAATGGCTGTGGGTCTTGCTGGCCTCAGAGCAGCAGCCACACTCTGGGCTTGGTGTGGATTTCCCTCCCATATCTGTACAATGGGATAATGAGCCTACCCAGAACCACTGTCAAGGACCCTTGGTCAGGACATGGTCTGTGGTCAGCTGATAGAGTGCTATCCCCCAGCTCGCAGCAACAGCTTCCAGCCTGGGTGGGTATCAATGGAAGGACCCCAGCGCTGTCCTGAGCACAGCCCTGGCCTGATATCACTATATCTGAACAGGGTAAGAAAGCATAGGTATCACCTTCTCAGGCATCCACTCCATCTGCCTATTGTCCTTGCTCCACACTATGGTGGGGACCACAAAGGGACAAAACTGTTGACCTGGCTTCCTCACATCTGAGTATCCTTTGGGAACAGTCTCTTTCTTCCCAGACACCAGGGGGCACCTCTCTCTAATGACCAGCACAGTTCATGATGTGTCTGGGGAAGGGGAGCAGGGCAGGGTTGGTGGCCACAGTAAGCTGGGCTCTGAGCTCAGCCTATATCACCCCAGCTCATCCAGGATCCCTGTCTTGAGTTCCTGAAGCCTGAGGAAAATGGGGAGTGAGACGGTTGGAGGCTGCTGCTCATGACATACCACAGGAAATCCCAGAAGGGACCTCACAGGCACGAGATAAAGGTAAAATGGAACTGTGTCCATCTAGAATAGGGTGGCCCACAAAGCAGTGAGTGTCCTCCTACGACTGCCTGCGTCTGCCTCTTGAGTGCTGGGATTAAAGGCGTATACCATCACACCTGCTGGACACTCTTTTTTGAGACAGGGTCTTATTGTTTAAAACTCACAATCCATCTCAGACTCAGTGATGTGCTGCCATGCCTGGGTACCCCTGACTCTTTACAGCCCTGTCCCATGACCTCCCTGTTCCTAACTAGCCTCCACCTATCCTGCTCTCCCACGGCCTGTTCTCCATCTTGGTTCATAGCACTGCTTTCCTTCAAACCCCTAGTATGGTGTCTGGACTGTTCATATGCCCTCATCCCTACCCCCCAACCCAGCCAACAGCTGCCAGGACTCACCCTTATCCCTCATTTGATCCCGAGTCCCACTACCAGCCTTCATCTTCCCATATCTCCAGGAGCCATTCCCGCCTCAACCCCTCCCACCCCCTTTACCAGATCTATCTCAGACCCAAGCTGGAGATAACGCTAGCTGGTCCTCAGATGGCCCTTTGCCTGGAATCCTTGTCCCCATGAACAGGGACCAGAACTCAGGCCTGAGGGGCTACTTGGCCAGCTCTGCAGCAGCCTGCCCTGGGGCTTGCTGTCCTTGAGAAGGAATGACATCTTCCTTCCAAGAGAAATAAATCTGCTAAAAAACAAGCCATTGAAGTGACTCAAGGGGCTCCTGTGAGGGTCCAGCCATGATTATCCTCCATGTTAGAGGCCCCTCTTCAGCCTCACTGGCAGGGCGGAGGGATTAATTATATGCTGTGAACTAGCCTTTGCCTGGAAATGTCTGCCTCTCTGTGAATGCGTTGGAGGCCACGGGGCCACTCTTTCCTCATCTGTTTGTCACCATAATCTAACAGTCCCCTCTGGGGGATACTCCACATCAAAGTCAACCCTCATCTTGTTCTATGCCAGCTCCTGCTTCCTTGGGTCTGACTCATCCTGCTCCTATTGGCTGGAACTGTTTACAGCGATCAGCCTTCTTGGCCTCCCCCCCCCCCCATGTCCTTCAAGACCCCACTCCTATGCCACCTCCTCCAGGAAGCTCCTGTGCCTTCCCCTGGACTCCTAGGTCCTTTATACCCTTAGGTGGTCCCAGACCCCTAGCCAGTTGGATTGCTCTCTACGGCCTGGCCCAGAAAAGGGGCAGTCTTGAGTATGAGTGAATGAGATACTGGTCTCAGCCATATTCCCTGAGCTGGAGACTCGTCAATTCTTCTTTGCCTGGAAAGGTCAGTTCATCCCAGGTCCAAGAAGCCCCCAGGCCCTGCAGGCATGGGTGCAGCCCCCGGAGTCGAGGAACCAGATCCAGTCCATGTTCTGCTCGGCTGGCTGCCCTATCTCGGGCCATCTTGCCGCCGTGGCAGCCGCTCCTCCTAGCACAGTATCTGGGGCCCTCATCTCCCTGTGGCGGCTGGGCTCACTCTGACTTCTTCCCTAGTGTGTCCTGGCCTGACTGCCTTCCATTCTTGCCCTCACGCTATCCCGCCCCTATGCAAACTTGACTATTCCTAAAGAGTCCCTGGCTGACTGTACCTGCCCATCTTGAGACTGTAATCTCCCTTCTTTCTCTGTCTTCAGTGGTCTGCGTTTTTGTTTGTTTGTTTTGGGGGACTTGAGGTTTTTTGTTTGTTTGTTTGATTAGCCTCTAGACCAGGCATTCCTGCTATTATGGCCTGTGCCTTGGCCCACCTGCAGGTCCCTAGCCAGGTCCAGCTCAGGGGGTTTTTTGTTGTTGTTTGTTTGGTTGGTTTTTGGTTTGTTTTTCGAAACAGAGTTTCTCTGTGGCTTTGGAGGCTGTCCTGGAACTAGCTCTTGTAGACCAGGCTGGTCTTGAACTCACAGAGATCCGTTTGCCTCTGCCTCCCGAGTGCTGGGATTAAAGGCATGCGCCATCAACACCTAGGGAAGCTCATGTTTATAGAAATGGTTCCACATGCCCAAATCCTAGATGTCACCCTATAGACGGGGCAAGGAGACTGCCTGGAGCAGCAGAGAGAGACAGAGGTGACACTAGGAGGATCAGGTCCAAGTACTTCTGCAGGCAGGTATCATGCCCCCGTGCCTGCCGTGCCCCCCCCATGCCCGCCACCCCAGCATGCTACCTTTCTGCCTGCCTCGTTGTTGTGGAGGTTCATGAGGCGCCTGGCGTTCTTTTTGATCTCACGAGCATCCACAAATCGTCGGGAAAAGTCAATGCCGTAGCGCACATCAGCGGAGCAGCCTCCCCACTTCCAGCCTTCCGCCTGGTTGTAGTAGCCTTGCTTCTCGCGGTCACAGCCACAGTTGCTCAGGTTGCCCTGGCTGCAGGCAGCAGTGACAGCATGTGCCACGCCTGCTGCCGTGATGGCGTATGTGAAGGCAGCCTCACGACTCCCTGTGGAGAGAGACAGCAAGCGTGGGTTGACGAGGCCTCCAAGTCTTGAGCCCGGCGGTCACAGGGCATGTAGTCCACCTACTTTGTGATCCTCGGCTCCATACTTGCCCTCTCTGAACTTGCAACTCATGAAACTGGGGCTGATGGACCCCACCCGGGAAGGGGGTAATAAGGACATTTGAGTGGCATGTGTGTCTGCAGTGACCCACCAACACATACCGCTGTCATTTTCTGTCTCCCTGTTCCCAAGGGACAGGCCATTTGTGTTCTGGGCAGAAGATGCTGTTCTGGGCTATGAGGAAGTTCATAGTCTCTGTACTCTAGTCAGGACCCCACAGAGCCCAGAGCCTACCTCCCTCTCTCTGCTCATCCTCGGTCCATTTCAAGCCTTGGCCTCCCAGATCTCCTTCTCCTTCCAGCCGCTACTCATTACTAAATGTAGTATAGTCAGGGCACCCCCTACCCCACCCCTGCCAACACCTGCTTGGCTTCCTTGGCCCTCTCCCCATCCCTTGTCAGGATGATGACTCAAGTCTTCTGGGTGTGGCTCACACCTCCTATAGATTTGCTGGTCTTTGCGGGGTAAGATTCCCTTCCCCTTTGAGGCCTGGCTCTAATGCTTCCTCCTCTGGGCAGCCTTCTCAGGATGGAAGTCCTCACTGCTCAGATGGGGACCCTCCCCACCAGGTTAGCCCTACAGAGATCCCTGGAACCTTGTAGGCTCCTCAAGTGGGCAAAGACCTGCCCTGTTTTCTTCTTTATTGACCACAGGCCCAGGCTGGGCCATCCAAGCCTTCCATCTTGGGTTCATTTTTCTCGGGTCCCTTCCTGTTTACCCGCTGTCTGTTTCCTGCAGGACTCCAGTCTCATCTGCGGACAGCAGGGCCGGTGGTCAAATATGGCTAGGGTGGAGGAAAACCCAAGACCCAGCTTAGCAAGGCCCCATGCCAGCACTTGCCTGTCCTTGGTACCAGGCTGCAGGCCCTGGTCCCAGAGGCTGTGTCTGCATTGACCCACCGCTACAGAATTAATGGTTCTGAGTCAAGTCAGGTCGACAAACCACATCAAGAACCAACCCTACGGCTGGCCTAAGTCTACCCACCTACCCACCAACCAGCTGGGGGTACATGAGGGCATCTTCCTTCCCAGGAGGTGCTTACTGGGGGGCCCTCTTCCCTCAAAGGTGAGGGCAGGGTGGAGGCCACTGTCTCAGGCCTATAGCAATCTCCACTTCACCTGCTACCCTGCTTGGTTGCACCCACCCCGTCCCACCCCACCCCCATCACCTCTCTTGCCAGAACACAGTCCCAGGGTCTGTGGGCTCTGGGCTCCAATTATGACAGGAGATAAAAGAGATGAGAGATAACCCCTAAGCTCATAGGACTCCGCACAGTCCTGTGTGGCTAGTGCTGTTCTCAGAGGCTCCAGAGCTGTCCTGTCCCTGCACTGGTGGAGGCTAGCCAGGAGCCCCAGACAGAGAAGAGATTGGAAAGGTGTAGCAATCAGTGTCCCTGGGTCACCAAGACCCTAAGGGAAGCTACCGGGTTCCCTTTTCCCTCTGATAAGGCTGGGCAAAGTCAGCTGACCAACAGTTGAGGAATGAGGAGGTGGCCAGCACAGGTGGTTCTCAGGGTGCAGGGGGACCAGATAACCACTGACCCCAGGACTGGGACTCTGCAGAGGCCGAGCTGCCTTCCTAGTGTGCACAGGTTGCAAGTGTCCAATGCTGGGGTCTAGAAATTCAAACCACTGTGCAATTTTACAATTGGGGCAGACAACACCTAGGGAAGCTCATGTTTTATAGAAATGGTTCCACATGCCCAAATCCTAGATGTCACCCTATAGACGGGGTGGGTGTTATCCACCACCCCACCCCAAGGCAGCCACCAGAGATGTTCAACCTCTTCCATTACAACCAAGAAACCTATCTGGAAGCCTCAGGCAAGCAGGCAGGTGCCCTGGCTCGCAGGTGTGTTTCGGGACGACCCGAGGCATCCCGCGTGGGTCTTGCTTCAGGCCCCAGCTCTCCTCTGCTTATGCCCACACTTGCTCTGACTCAGTTACTCAGCAGTTACTCATCAGGCTGCCACTCCTGCTAGGGCCGCTTTTATTTGGTTTTAATGAGCCAAGCCCTTCGTCTGTTGCCATGGAGACAGGGAGAGGGGGGAACAAGAGGCCAGTGGTAGTTTGTAGAGAAGAACAACCCATGTGAGCTCAAGCAAGAGGGGCTGCTTTGGGTCAAGGGTCCCTGCGACTAGCATGCCGCAATGTGTTCGCTTTCGAGTCTTGAACGAGCCCTGGATGCTGGCTCTGTGGGCTTGGTAACTTGCCCCAGGCTGTGACATGCCCAGGTGTTGAGTAGGGAGGGAGGAGTAACTCTAGGCTTCCCTATCCCTCTTGGGGCCTTGGCTGGGGCTGCCCAGGGCCCTAGCCTGCTTCCTCCAGGAGAGAACAGGGAGAACTGACTCAGAAGATCCCGACCTTTGCAGATGCAGACAGCCTGGGCTCAAGGACTTAGTTCAACAACCACTGATGGTTCCTGAGATGTCTGAGATGAATTCCAGTATCCTGGCCCAGTCCCCCAAAGTCTCCAAGGCCTGAGAGCATACTCTCCACCACCATGAGCTGCAGCCCAATGTGGTCAGGGTGAATGGTGGCCCATCTGAGGTAAGTGTAGTCACCTCAGTGCAGAGGAACTATCTGTGAAGAAAGAAACTCCCAGCTCCTTGCCTCTTGCCTGACAGGCATTGGCAACTGGGCCTTTAGTGACTCTCAGTGTCCCCATGTCACAGGCTCTGGATGCAGCTGGGATTCTCCCTGTCCCAGAGTGTTTCCTGGAGGCAGGGACAGCGTCCTCTGGGCAACAATGGGGTCATTTTTCTCACACATCTCACAACCAAGGCCCTCTCCCAAATTTCCAGACATGGGTGGATCTGGGCACTTCATTTTATCTTATCCTTCCAACAACCCCAAGGATGGGTCACATTTCTCAGATAGGAAAACTGAGCCTCCTAGTGGTAAACTATTTGCTCTAGACAGTGGCTGCTGCCTGGGCTCCGGTGGTTTCAGGCGATAGTTATGGCAGGGAGAAGGATGGAGTGAACGGTGACAGCATGAATGATCTGTCGTGCAGTCACCAGCTGTCCTGAGAGGAAACTTGGCTCATGAAGACCCAGGAGTTCTTTGGGATCCAAAACTAATCCTACACAAGCCTGCACCCTTATGCACTGGAGCCCCCAGTCTCCCTGGAAAACACCAGAGATGGGTAACTAGGGTCCCTGGATAGATATCTGAGTCTTGATGGTCCTTGGGGGACTAAGCTGGTACAGAGCCCCCTGTCCACGGTGTTTAGACACATCAAAGCAAGCACCGTAAGCTGAGGGGCCATGGCCAATAAAGGGGACAGCAATGAGGGGCATGCAGAGAGACTTGGAGTGGGGAAGGCAGAGGGACACTGGGGGTGGGGGATGGGATGGGGTAGGCAAACCACACCCCTTCTAGAAGCCTGTGGCCTTGTGGGACTAGAATGTTCTTCTCTGCCTGGAGCCAGCTCTGGGAGCAAACAGAACCAATGACACCACCCCCATCACTATGAGGGAGAAGAGGGTTGAGGCCAGTAGAGGAACCATGGGATGGCCGGCACTTCTCAGGGTTCAGTGAGGCTGGGTGTGAACACCCTCCTCCAGGGCCGATACTTTCAGCACTGCCCAGCAGTCTCCACCATCTTCATCCTAAGTAAACCCAAGCTTACGAAGGCAGCAGATTCTGAGACCACTACCACGTGGGTGAACCATGGCTGTAGAGCAGAGGCTGGCCCACTCACAGGGTGTCTGCCCAGTACAGTGCTCTCCTTTGGTTATTCAAACTCTAGTCCTCAGCGAGCACATCGGCTCCCCACCCAGCTGGCACAAGTTGGGCTCATAGGACGACAGATACGGCCCCTGCCTGCCACATGCCTACAGTGGCAGACTGGGGCTGAGTCTCAATGGCCTACTGTCCTCTCACACTGACCCCCAGAGAATACTGCTAGGCAGAGACGATGGGCCTGCTGCCCAAAGCAGAGGCAGGCCAGGGCCCCCTGCCTCAGGGCAGAGCTGGGGCTAAGCCTACCCCCAGACCTATCAGTCAAGATACCGGCCACTTCCTGGCATCAACATGGGCCATACAATACTTTTAGAACGCTATAAAAGACAAAATTGAGCTCACAGTGACCCCATGAGCTACACTGGGGAGGCTGGACGACAAAAGAGGTGTTGGAGACCAGGAGCTCAGTTCTGAGAAGGGCCTTGAAGACTTTCCAGTTACATACCTCAATCAAGGAGGCCAAGGGAGGCCTAGAAAAGATAGTATATGCCCAATATACAGCAGCTCAAGGTATGGCAGAACCAGGACTTACAGGCCAGACAGGCCAGTCACTGAAGTCAGGAGGTCAGAGGTCAGAGGTCAAAGGTCTGGAGTTACATAGGGCCTAGAGTCCTCTAGAAGTCCAGATCCTAAAACTGGCTACTTGGGTGACCCTGACCCAGACAAAGGGCCTTCCCGTATCCCTATGGCCACACACAGTCCCCCGGACAGGCTGGCCTAAGCTTTGTGCCCACATGTTACACACACAGGTCCTTTGTGATATGCACATGCTTGAGCAACCCCATGTGATTTGTGTGCATCACTGTGTCCACACACATGTATGTGGGCATGCATAAACTTTTGTTTAAACTCAGCGCTTGGGAATGCACACGAAGGTGGGTGCCTATGTGCCTGGACTCAGGACCAAGGAGGTCTCACTCATCTTTTCCCTTGCTCCCTCTTAAACAAAAAACAAACATTGTCTTCAGGTCACTAGTAAAAAAGCAACCAACCAATTAAAAATGGGCAAAGGACGGGATTTGAGCATGGCCCAGTGGCGAGCACTTGCCTAGCATGTAGTAGGTCCCAGGTTTCATTCCCAGGATTGCCAAGGAAAAAAGAAAAAGAAAAAAAAAAGACAGCAGAGGGGAGTGTGT